GGGCATAGGAATAGCTGTCATAAGTACAGGTTAGGTGATAAGTGGCTGGAGAGCAGCACTTGTGAAAGGGACCTCGGGGTACTGGTTGACTGCAGGCTAAACATGAGTCAGCAGTGTGATGTGGTGGTCAAGAGGACAAACACCACCCTTGGTTGCATAGCCAGAAGCATAGCTTCCAGATCTAGAGAGGTATTACTGCCACTCTATATGACTCTGGTGCGCCTGCAACTGGAGTATTGTTTTCAGTTCTGGGCCTCTCGTTACAGGAAGGATATAGCCAGGTTAGAGTCGGTGCAGCATAGGGCCATAAGGATGGTGGCCAGATTGCAGGGAATGTCATATGAGGCAAGACAGAGGGAACTGGGTCTTTTCAGCCTGGAAAAAAGGCGACTCCAAGGGGATCTGTTGGCAACATATAGGCATGTTAGGGGGTGTCACACAGAGTTGGGTAGACACCTGTTCTCCCCCGCAGAGGAGGGCAGGACGCGTTCCAGTGGAGCCAAGCTCAGGGAGCTAAGGTTCAGTTTGGATGCCAGGAAGTACTTCCTGACAGTTAGGACCACAAGGGTATGGAATGGGCTTCCACATAACGTTGCTGAGGCCCCATTGGTGAGGGTTTTCAAGGATAGGCTAGACATGCACATGGGAGGCATGTCATTTGTGGAGCCTGCTGGAGCTGGGGGTCAGACTAGATGGCCCAGAAATCCTCTTCTGACTCTCTGTTTCTGTTTCTAAGTCCTAGGAAGTTTTAAGATTTTGACAGCAAGAATGTCTGCCAGCTTTTCCTGATTAATATAGGCAGCTCTGGGAGTCTTTCTGGTTGAGGAGTTGAATAAAAACAATTGAAATAATTTAATAGCTCTCACCCCTTTCTGTAGTTTGTAGGACAGCAGTCAAGTGTTCGAATTCTCATTTTAGGTAGCATTACAGCTATCTGTTGCTAATGATCTACACTCCCTCGTCCCAGTTTCTGCTGCAAGAGACAGTTGATTATCTCCTGCCCCTTCTATGGAAACCACTGAATTTGGGAGAAAAATACATAGAGGGATGTGTCATCCTCTCTCTCTCTCTCCAGAAAGTTGGGGACACATGGCAGGCAAGAATGTACCTAGTACAGCCTCTGAGCTCGGAATGTGCGCCTTGGTGTCCGGTCGCAGCTGCGGTAAAATTTCGAGCAGCTCTCAACTTTCGTACTCGGGGACTAGCGCAATGCAGGAAAAATGGGCCTACAATTCCGGGCATTCCCCAGAAGCAAAGGAGCAGCGAGATTTGCTTTTGACTAAAATCCAGGAAAGGGCGGCTCCGTCTGAGGATTTTCCTTTGTTATAGGCGCCACGACTGTCCGATTGGCTGAAAGGAGAGCACCGCGTTTATTGATTGGACGAGTTTGATTGATGGGACGCGACCTCGGCAGTCGTTCCAAAGGAGGACATTTCTCGTTTTGAAGCTTCAGAACGGGATGGGAGGAGGCACGTGACTGAATCGCCGCATACAGTTGTCGTGTGGCTGAAGAGTGCGAATAAGCAGCCTGAAAAAGGTGGCCAGAGGAAGGGAGACGTCTGTGCACTGGCTGGTGAGCAGGGCGTGAGTGCTGCCTCTGTGCCTGAACAGAAGGGGCTCGCGGATGTCGGGTAGAGTGTATTCATGCAACAAATGCTTGTGGCTCCCTTTGCGATGCGAGGCTGGGCGAGTGCATGTTGCTTCTTGTCGGTTCCTCGCCTGCCTTTTCGGGCGGGGGGGGGGAGCTGCGGCGGTGTTGGGCGGGGGAATGGAAACAAGCAGATGATCTCTTGAAACGATGCATTCATTGAAGTCGCGGAGAGAGATGGCGACGTGTCGGAGTGCCAAAGGGGAAGGAATCGGCCCGTGGAATGGGATAGGGAACTCCCTGTTTGGGATGCGGGAGTATTTGTTTGTGGAGTACGAGGTGATTTCCATGGAGAAAGGAGCGAGTCCTCGATGCCAGTGCTACTCCGTGTCCTTTTGAGAAGTCCTTTGGGGCGATGAAAGTTGGGAGGGGGCAGCCTCCTGTCCAAAGGCACGATTCCCCCTCCCCAGATCAGCCCGCCCCCACCCCCCGGCCTTTTCCGCGGCCTTCACTCTCAGATTGCAGTGGGAGACGGGAAGAGAGGCGTCGGCTTTCCGGGTGATGTGCCGGAGACGCTGCTACTCCGGTTCCTTTTGGGGTGCTCTCCCACCCTTTCTGACCCCTAAGTTCCGACCGCAGTGGCAAATGGGGGGAGGGGAGCGAGAAAGCACTCCACGCCTGCCAGCGTTTTGCCCCAAGTGACGCCATTCCCCAGTAATGTGGAAGTAGGAGAGGTGGCCTTAATATAGTTCCCCAAGGCCAGAAGACAATTTTTCCTGCCGTGACCTTCACCATTTCTTTTGAAGCTCCGGATGAAATGCTGCCTGACTCAAAGCTGGTCTTTGGCCATAGAGGTTTCCATGAGACAAGCCCCTCAGCTCATCTTTCGCCTGCCCCGTCTTCAGTTCTCTGCTTCTCCATCCCCTTTTCTGATGCATATCCCAGCTTGCTCTTGCCTTTGCTCTTACTGTGTTCAGCCTGCTGCAGTCCCATCTGCAGTACCTTCCTGAAGAGCCACAGCCAGTGTCCCTGAGGCACTCTGGCCAAGCTGGGCAGGGGCTCATCCTGGGAGCAGGCAGGATCATGGGAGCAAAGTCACAGACATTTTCTGGCTCTTGTCCCAGCCTGAGATGTGCTGGGGAACATGGGCACATGGGCTGCAGCTTCCCTGGGTGTTTGAAGCAGGACTCGATGGAGACCCAAATTGCATTTCTGAACATGCTCCCTGCTCTTCCCACTCCCCAGAGAGTGAAGAATGGCATCTGAGTCGCTGTGGAATCCGCTGCCACACTCCATAACACCAGAAGAGGCTGCGGTGGAGCCGGGCCTGGTAAGGAGCCCCTCTGGGACCTGAGTGGGGTGGGGAAGATGATGGAGGGCCCACAGGAGCAGAATGGGGATGGGGTGCCAGCAGGGGAGAAGACGCATCACTGCCGTTCTTCCAGCTTGTGGATCTGCAGTGGACTCTTCCGGTTCGGAAGAAGAGGGTTCTCTTATCCGGTAAAGCCACAAGGAGCTCCTGCCCCTCCTTGCTGCTTGTTTCTCCCCAGTATTCAAGGGTTCCGTCCGGCTGTCTTGTCTCATTGCCCGTGTTGGATCTTAGTGCTGGCTGAAGGGAGCAGGAGGAGGCTGCCCCTTGTGCTTGCGTTTTCCAAGCAGGGGCATTCTCCTGTCCATCTGCCTCACCTGCAGCCTGAAGGGGCACTTTCAGCAGGAATGCAATTCAGTGGCATGCTGTTTGTGCGCGCAAGTCTTTCTCTCTCTCTCTCTCTCTCTCTCTCTCTCTCTCTCGTTTCTTTTCTGGCACACCAAGGTTCCTGGGGGCTACAGCTCCGTAAAGGGGCCTTGCTTCCTTGCTAGTTGCGAAGTCGCGTGTGAATCATCGTGACCCCATGGACAACACTCCCAAGGAGCAAGCATCTTTTAATTTCTTGGCTGTAGTCCCCATCTGCAGTGATCTTGGAGTTCAGGACAATAAAATCTGTCACTACCTCCATTTTTTCCCCATCTATTTGCCAGGAAGTGAGAGGACCGGATGCCATGATCTTAGTTTTCTTGACGTTGAGTTTCAAGCCAACTTTTGCACTCTCTTCTTTCACATGCATCAAGAGGCTTTTTAGTTTCACTTCACTTTCTGCCATTAGAGTGGTATCATCTGCATATCTGAGGTTGTTGATATTTCTCCAATATATCAACAACCTTAAGCAATCCTAACTCTAACTAGTGAGTCATCTAGCCCCACCTTTCACGTGATTTGCTCTGCATATAAGTTAAATAGGCAGGGCAACAGTATAAAGCCTTGCTGAACTCCTTTCCCAATTTTGAACGAATCAGTAGTTCCATGTCCAGTTCTCACTCTTGCTTCTTGACCCGCATATAGGTTTCTCTAGAGACAAATAAGATGGTCTGATACTCCCATCTCTTTAAGAACTTGCCACAATTTGTTGTGATCTACACAATCAAAGGCTTTAGCATAGTCAATGTAGCAGAAGTAGATGTTTTTCTGGAACTCCCTAGCTTCCCCCATGATCCAGTGTATGCTGGCAATTTGATCTCTGCCTCTTCAAAACCCTGCCTGTACTTCTGGAAGTTCTCGACCCACATACTGCTGGAGCCTGGCTTGTAGGATTTTGAGCGTAACTTTGCTAGCATGTGAAATGAGTGGAATGGTGCGGTAGTTTGAACATTCTTTGGCAATGCCCTTCTTTGGAATTGGAATGTAAATGTAAACTGACCTTTTCCAATCCTGTGGCCACTGTTGAGTTTTCCAGATGTGCTGGCATATTGAGTGTAGCACTTTTTCTGCAACGTCTTTTAGGATTTTGAATAGCTCAGCTGGAATACTGTGGGCTCCGCTAGCTTTGTTGTTGCAAATAGTCCCTAAGGCCCTTTAAACTTCACATTCCAGGATGTCTGGCTCAACCTCACAGACGTTAAGCTCTTTCTTGTCTAGTTCTTCTGTGTGATCTTGCCTCTTCTTCTTAATCTCTTTCTGCCACTGTTAGGTCCCTGCTATTTTGGTCCTTTATCATGCCCATCTTTGCATGAAACATTCCCTTCATATCTCCAATTTTCTTGAAGAGATCGCTAATCTTCCCTATTCTATTGTTTTCTTCTATTTCTTCACACTGTTCATTTAAGAAGGCATTCTTATCTCTTCGAGCTATTGTCTGGAATTCAGCATTCAATTGGGTGTATCTTTCTCTTTCTCCCTTGCCTTTTGCTTCCCTTCTTTCCTCAGCTATTTGTAAAGCTTCCTCAGACAACCATTTTGCTTTCTTGCATTTCTTTTTCTTTGGGATAGCTTTAGTTGCTACCTCTTGTACAGTGTTGCAAACCTCCGTCCATAGTTCTTCAAGCACTCTCTCTATCAGATCTAATTCATTAAATCTATTAGTCACCTCTACCGTATATTCAGCAGGGATATGATTTAGGTCATACCTGAGTGGTCGAGTTCTTTTCCCTACTTTCTTCAATTTAAGCCTAAATTTTGCAACAAGAAGCTCATGATCTGAGCCACAGTCTAGTTTTTACTGACTGCATAGAGCTTCTCCATCTTTGACTGCAGAGCACATAGTCAATTTGATTTCTGTGTTGACCATCTGGTGATGTCCATGTGTAGAGTCATCTCTTGGGTTGTTGGAAAAGAGTGTTTGCTATGACCATCGTGTTCTCTTGACAAAATTCAGCCAGCCTTTGCCCTGCTTCATTTTGTACTTCAAGGACAACTTGCCTGTTATTCCGGTTATCTTTTAGCTTCCATCTTTAGTATTCCAATCCCCCATGATGAAAAGGACATCATTTTTTATGTTATTTCTAGAAGGTGTTAGGCCTTCATAGAACCAGTCAACTTCAGCCTCTTCAGCACCAGTGGTTGGGGCATAGACTTGGACTAATGTGATGTTGAATAGTTTGCCTTGGATTCGAACTGAGATCATTCTGTCACTTTGGAGATTGTATCCCAGTACTGCTTTTCCTACTCTTTTATTGACTATGATGGCTACTCAATTTCTTCTGAAGGATTCTTGCCTGCAGTAGTATATCTGATGGTCATCTGAATTAAATTCACCCATTTCTCTCCATTTTGGTTCACTGATTCCTAAGATGTCAATGTTTGATCTTGTCATCTTATGTTTGACCACATCCAGCTTACATTGATTCATGGATCTTATATTCCAGGTTCTTATGCAGTAATGTTCTTTACAGCATCGGACTTTCCTTTCATCACCAGATGCATCCTCAGCTGAGTGTCCTTTTGGCTTTGACCCAGTTGCTTCATTCTTTGTGGCACTACTAGTACTAGCCCTCTGCTCTTCCCCAGTAGCACATTGGACACCTTCTGACCTGAGGGGCTCATCTTCTGGCATCATATATTTTTTCCTTTTGGTACCGTCCATGGGGTTTTCATGGCAAGGATACTGCAGTGGGCTGCCATTTCCTTCTCCAGTGGATCACGTTTTGTCAGAGCGCTCTGCTGTGACCCGTCCGACTTGGGTGGCCCTGCATGGCATAGCTCATAACTTCATTGAGCCACACAAGCCTCTTTGCCACAGCAAGGCAGTGATCCATGAAGGGGGTAAAAGGGCTTGTGCATCTTGATTAAACTGGCACATTTCCCTCATGGATGGTTCTTCCAGTGGCATGCCACTGATTGCACCCCAGAAGGATTTCTGGATGGTGACTTTCTGTGGGTGACTCTCTTTTCCTGTAGTGCTGGGTGACCTTTGAAGACGTGTCCGTGTATTTCACAGAGGGCCAGGGCACTCTTCTGGATCCGGATCAACGGGCCTTGTATCGGGATGTCATGCTGGAAAATTATGAGAACCTGGCCTCACTGGGTAAGGGACGTGAATCCTCATTCTCTCAGAGCTGTGAGTCTTCATGTTCTCCTGTCTGCAGCTGCAGTTTTGAAGCAATGCCTTTGTTTGGTAGCAAGTTGATATCTTCAGATGAGGGCAGGTTGCATGCTCAGTGACCTCATTTCTTTGTGCAATAGCAGGCTGTGTTCAGTTCTGGACCCCTCCTTGCAGGAAGGATATAGCCAGGTTAGAGTCAGTGCAGCGTAGGGCCATAAGGTTGCTGGCCGGTTTGCAGGGGATGTTGTATGAGGCGAGACTGAAGGAACTGGGTCTCTTCAGCTTGGAGAATACTCAGAGGGGATCTGTTGGCGACATACAGGTATGTGACGGGGTGTCACACGGAGGTTTTCCTGTTCTTCCCTTCAGAGGAAGGCAGGACGCCCTCCAACGGAGCCAAGCTCAGGGAATCAAGGTTTAATTTAGATGCCAGGAAGTACTTCCCAACAGTTAGGACCCCAGGGTATGGAATGGGCTTTCACGGGAGGTGGTTCAGGCCCCGCCGGTGAGGGTGTTCAAGGATAGGCTGGACATGCACATGGTAGGCATGTCATGAGCGGAGCCGGCTAGAGCCGGGGGTCAGACTAGATGGCCTGAGAGACCCCTTCTGACTCTCTCTGTTTCTATGTTTCTATGCTGTTGCACCCGAGGTTTGGGGGGAGCTAGACCTGGCCAAGACCTCATTGATGTGCAAAGCTAGGAACTGTGAGGTATCAGTGAAAGAGCAGGAGGGGAGAGGCCTCTGGCTCCACGCCTGCACCAGAGCTCCCTGCAGCTTGTTCCTCCCGGTATTTTTCTCCCTTCCTGGTTCTGCTGCTGGGAGTGGGCCAGGAAGGAACGGAAATCCCAGACCTTAAGGGGGGCAAGACACACAGAGCAGGGCAAAGTGACTTCCTTCTCCTACAAACACCTCCTGCAGTTGAAGTTCACTCTCTCACTATAAATGTGGACAGGGCAGAATTGAGGAGGACTGTGACTCGGTCACCATCTCCCCAGAGCGCAGTCGTGAGCGGTTGGCCCGACAATTTATTTGGCTGTGCAGCTGTTTTCTATCTTCTCCAAAGTTATTTTTCGTGGTCTCTGTGCATCACATATGTGAACATCGGCGCACAGTGCAAGGCCTGGATTGGAGAGAAACTTCAAAAGCTAAATGTCACAGAGCGGGTGGGAGGCCCCCCCCCATCTCTTCCAGGGCCTTGGATAAGAAGGTGTGGCTCCCACCCACTTCCTCAATTTCTCTCTGACTGCACATCTTGCCCACATCACCCGATTGCTTTGAACTTCTTCACTTATCTCTTGTCCTTTATTTCTTTCTGTGTCTTCCCTTCCTCATTTCTTCTATTGAAAAAAATCCAAATATATATTTAATAAAATTCTTTGTACTTTCTTTAAACAATGCATGTATGTATGTAATTCTGCACTCCCCTATCATTTCCCCCTCTCTCCTGCTACACACTTGCTCACTGCTCACAGTCACCCCCATGGTCTGAGGGACGTTCTCCTCCACTTTTCTCGCTCTCCTCCTGCCTCCTTGAGCAAAACGTGGCCCACGGACCCAGTGCTCCATAGCGGTGCCTCATGTCCTGCGTGCCTCCCGGCCCCCACCAACCACTCCCCATGCCTCCTCTGCCTCAGCAGGGTGCCTATGGTGGAGATTTGCCCACACAGCCAGGTATTCAAACACAGCTGTGCTGGCAGTGGGTGGAGCAGCTAAATTCACTTTATGGCAGCAGGTCCTCTATGGGGCTGATGCAAAACCAGGGGCTGAGAGGCGAGCCTCTGCTCTGGGGCCCAGCTTCACTTAGCAGTGTGTTTGCGGCCCACTTCACCAAACAGATCTCTGCCGTGACTTTGCCGGCCCTGCCTTGCCTTACCTGAAGGCAGACCCTGACCATCGCTGGCCAGACCTGAGGACCCGTGCTGCCAGCACCAGCCAGCATGAAGAGCAAGCTGCTGCTGCTGCCACAGCCAACACACTGGGCCCTCCGATGCACCGACGCCATGAGGCCTCCCGCGTCGACACAGGCCTCAGCGAGGCCCACATGCACCCCCATCAATGCCAGCCTGCTCCCAGCGTTGGTGCCAGCACAGCCCACCGCTCCCCAGGCCATGCCAGCTCCCAATCTCGTGGGCCACCTGCCGGGCTGGCTAGCAGCTGGCTAGCTGTGCAACATCTCGAGGCAAACGTGCACACCCACTGCTCACACAGCCCACCCGAGGCAATTTCGATCTACTCACCTGTTCCTGGAAGAGAGCATTTGCCAACCAGCCACTGCTGCTCAGCGTCCCCTGATTCAGGGCAGAGTTATTCCCCTAATTCGGTCCGCTCCTTCTTGCCTGCCCCGCCACTGCGCTCTCCCAAGGCCCCATCCCAGGAGCAGGACCCGGGCCCTCTGTGGGAGGAAAGAGACGGTTTGCTGCCCTGGTCCTCCACGTGGCTGATGACCTCGGCTTCAGCATCTCTCAGCCAGTACAGTCCACCACCAGTCCCATGACTGAGGACCCCCTGTGCCTGTCTCCATCCCCTTCCCTCCAGCCATTCTGCACATGGTGCAGCAGTCATGGAAGTCCTCTGTGGCGACGCTGACCACCTTGCTCCGCATAGAGTCCACTTACCAGGCATCCCTTCCCTTCCTAAATGAGCACCCCGAGCCCAACTCTATTATTGTCGAGTCTGTGCAGGCGACCACCCAGCAGGATCACCCCATGCCGACAGATGGGGAGGGACAGCAACTAGATAACCTGGCATGAAGGGGATATGGGACCTCCTCTCTTGGGTTTCATGTGTCCACCAATGAAGACGCCATGGCCAGCTACCAGACATTCCTCTGGGAAAAGATGGGTTCCCGGGCATAACACCTACCACCTGAACAGCGTGAGGTGGCACGCCTAGTCCATGCAGAGGCTGATAAGCTGCCCAGGTACCAGCCTGAGGTGGCACACGACCGAGCGGACTGTGTGGGGAACCTCTGTTGTCAGTCATCGCACTCTGTCGCCAAGCATGGCTGTGCTTTACGGGCCTCCCTCAGGAAACCTGTGTCCTCATCAAGGACATGTCTTCGGACAGGGAGGGGCATCCTCCCCCTCCTCAGGCAGGGTGACTGATTCCCCTCTATAGACCTCAAGAATGCCTGCTTCCACATCACCGTTCATCACGCATATAGGCACTTCCTTAGGTTTCGTATAGGACAAGAGACCTTTCAGTTCCCAGTCCTCCCACTTGGCCTAGCCGCCGCACCAAAATCCAGAAGGAACACACAGATTGTCTCCTCATCACCCCCTGGTGGCTGCAACAGCCATCACTCCCTCTCCTCCTCCACCTGTCCAACAGGACATTCCTCTTCCTGCCACAGAACCACCACCTGCCCTCTCAGATAGAGGACCAGGTGTGCCTCCCAGACACCAGACCCCTGAACCTGCCTGCCCGAAGGATTCACTGGCAGGAAACCCCAACTCAGCACTACCTCTGGCTGCCGTCTCCATTCTACAGCCCACCCTAAAGCTCCCCCCCCCCCCAAATACCTCCATTGAGCACATCCTCTCTGACCTCCAGGGACTTTCCAAGTGGATATCCAGTAGCATCTGCCTAGCCTATGAGATGGCGGGGTTTGACCTTCCCACACACCCTCCCTCACACTCCTCATGAGCACAGGCCACACCCGCCGCTTCCCTGGCTGGAATCCCTCTGGAAAGCCACCATGTGATCCACACCATCGACCTTCGTCCGGCACTACAGGCTCGACGTACACACAAGACAGCACCGGGTCTTCGGCAGGGCGGTCCTCTCAGCGGTCCTGCAATGATGACGGCTCCTCCATCCACGAAAGGTAATCTTGCTAGTTGTCCAAATGTGTGGTGCACAGAGACCATGAAGAAGAAAGGCAGGGTGCTTACCTGGAACTGTCGTTCTTCGAGTGGTCTTCTGTGCATTCACACGACCTGCCCGTCATCAGACCACCATGCTCCCTTCTCCCTACCACACGGGATCATTCCGGGGCACGGGTGGGGACAGAGCTCACACCCTCTGTCCGGTTGCCTGGAGGATTTGCGATATCCAAGGCAGCTAGGAGAGTGGGCAGGAGCCCCCCCCCCCTTATCCAAGGCCCCGGAAGGGGCAGGGGGGCTCCCGCCCACTCCATAGCATTTAGCTTTGGAAGTTTCTCTCTGATCCAGGCCTTGCACTTTGTGGCAATGCCTACATGTGTGAATGAACCACTCAAAGAACAACAGCCGTAGGTCAGCAAGCTGCCTTTCTGATGCAGCGCCGTGCAGTTGGACACGTAAAGGAGCGACTTGTGATATGCCTTCATGTAAAACTGTTTGCCAAATAGAGCTTTAACTTTTAGAAAGACTCAGTTGCCCCAGTATCCACAACACTCTTTATATTGCGTGTCTCTATCGCAGCATTATTGAAACGTCTTCCCAACCTTACTTGGGATGATGATAAATGAGCTCACGGAAGCTGGGTGTGGAACTACTTTTCTCCTGGCATCTTAGAGCTGCAGGATAAAGTGATAACTTTTACCCTTCTCTCCTTCCTGAGAAGGTTTTCCAGTCACCAAGCCTGAACTCATCTCCCAGCTGGAACGAGGGGAAGAGCCATGGGTGGCAGATGCTCAGGGCCTGGATGAGACGGAGAAGGTCAACATCCATCCAGGTAAGGTCCCCGAGTGAACCACTTGAGCAGGGACTCCTGGAGGATTCTTGACTGTTTGCAACACTGATTCTTTCCATTTTATTTATTTATTTATTTATTTATTTATTTCCTCTTCTATGTTTCCTCATAACCTGAAGGTTCTCTGGGCAGTTATAAATGCTGAACACAGCATTCAAAACAATTGATAAAACAATAAAGTAGATAAAATAGATGAAACAGTAAAATAATAGATTAAAACCATCTCATAAAAAATGTAAACCACATACAACAAGATAAATACAACCAATAAAGCAGCAGCCAAACTTTAAATAAATAATCCATTACAAAAGATGACATTATAAATTAAATTAACCTATAGCTTGTTTGAACAAAAACATTTCCACTTCAAAGAAAGAAGAATTAGTGCCAGCCGTATGTCCCTGGGGAGTGAGTTCCAAAGTCTGGGTGTTACTGCTGAAAATGCCCCCCTTCTAATCTCATGGGGGGGATTTGGAGGAGGAGTTTCCAGGCAGATTTAAGTGGGCAGGTAGGAATATATGGAGAGAGACGCTCCCTCAGGTACCCTGGTCCCAAGCAGTTTAGGGCTTTATGCATCAAAGATGACACTTTGAATTGGGCCCGGACTGGAACAGGGTGCCAGTGCAGCTGCTGCTCGCATCACGCAGGTCCAGGCCTGGCTTTTGCAGGAGTGATGTTATCACAGCCACCTTTAAAGGGGCTGGACCACTCCCTCTCCCTCAGCCATTGACTGAATCCTGGACCCAGGTGCAAGCACCCACCTTAGATCTCCCAATAAGCCATGATGGGCAAGGGTTGAGCGGGCAAGTGGTGGGCTGGACTCAAGATTAAAAACTCCTAATTTTAATCTCAGCCACTTCATTTCCCTTTTTCTCATTGAAATCCCCTTTTCTGAACAGCAACCTGAAGCATGCTTGGGAGGTGTACTACTTTTTCTGTCTAAATATTCATAAGTTTGCGGTTTTAATAGGGGTCTGACTGGGTGTTTGGCCAGGTATTCTTTGTGTGAATGGATGCCACAGCTGCTGACCTCTGTTCCTCAACGTACTACCTCAGGAAAAATGGCAAGAGAGGAGAGAAAGGGGAAAAAATTGCCCTGCAGTTACTTGGTGCTTGCAAGTTACCAGAGTTCTATTGTCCTGATTTGCTGCTTCAGTCTCTCTTCCTTTCTACCAAGTTAACCTTTTTTCTTTGTGTCTTAGGTCTTTATGGAATGAATCACATGGGCACCATGTGCGGCCAAGATTTTATGGAAAAATCAAGCAGTGCCCAGAATCCCAATGTCCATGGAGGAGAGAGATCGTTTGAATGCTTGGAGTATGTAAAGGATTTGGATCAGCAATCATATTTCTTGAACCAGCCAAGAATTCACACAGGCAAGAAATCTTTTCAGTGCTTGGAGTGTGGGAAGTGTTTTACTCAAAGATCAAGTGTTTTGATCCATCAGAGAACCCACACAGGGGAAAGACCGTACAAGTGCTTGGAGTGCGGAAAGAGCTTTGCTCGGAATTCTCAACTCACACGGCACCAGGGAAACCACACAGGCAAGAAACCATTTAATTGTACAGATTGTGGGAAGTGTTTTGCTCAGAAATCTCATTTCGTGATCCACCAGAGAGTACACACAGGAGAGAGACCATATAAATGCTTGGTGTGTGGGAGGTGTTTCTCTTCCAAAGCAAGTCTCATGGGCCACCAGAGAGTTCACACAGAAGAGAAACCCCATAAATGCTTAGAGTGTGGGAAGTGTTATTCTCCTAAATCACGTTTCATGGCTCACCAGAGAGCTCACAGAGGAGAGAAACCATATAAATGCTTGGAATGTGGGAAGTGTTTTTCATCCAAGTCATGGATTAAGCAACACCAGAATGTCCACAGAGGGGAGAGGCCCTACAAGTGCTTGGAGTGTGGGAAGTGTTTTTCATCCAAATCATGGTTTGTGGAACACCAGAGAGCCCACACAGGAGAGAAGCCCTATAAGTGCTTGGAGTGCGGAAAATGTTTTTCTTGGAAATCATGTTTGAGGTCCCACCAGAGAGTCCATACAGGAGAGAAGCCCTATAAGTGCTTGGAGTGTGGGAAGTGTTTTTCATCCAAATCATGGTTTGTGGAACACCAGAGAGCCCACACAGGAGAGAAGCCCTTTAAGTGCTTGGAGTGTGGAAAATGTTTTTCTTGGAAATCATGTTTGATGGCCCACCAGAGAGTCCATACAGAAGAGAAGCCCTATAAGTGCTTGAAGTGTGGGAAGAGTTTTTCTTGGAAATCAAGGCTTATAGTCCACCAGCAAATTCACAGAGCAGAGGATCCATATAAATGCTTGGAGTGTGGGAAGTGTTTTTCATGGAAATCGGATGCCATTGTCCATCAGAGGATTCACACAGGGGAGAAACAATTTAAGTGTCTGGAGTGTGGGAAGTGTTTTATTAAGAACTCAGGTCTCGTATACCATCAAAGAGTCCACACAGGGGAGAAACCATATAATTGCTTAACATGTGGCAAGTATTTCAGCCATTCCTCATCCTATGCCAAACATCGGAGAGTCCACACAGGGGAGAAACGATTTCCGTGCCTGCAGTGTGGGAAGCGTTTTGTTGAGAAATCTGGTCTCATATGCCACCAGAGAGTCCACACAGGGGAGAAACCATATAACTGCTTAAAATGTGGCAAGTATTTCAGCCATTCTTCATCTTTTGCCAAACATCAGAGAGTCCACACAGGGGAGAAACCATTTCAGTGTTTGGAATGTGGGAAGTATTTTACTCAGAAATCAAATCTCTTGAGGCACCAGGCTGCCCATACTGGAGAGAAACCCTATAAATGCTTTGAGTGTGGGAAGTGTTTTGCCCAGAAAACGTATCTCATGACCCACCAGAGAGTCCACACGGGAGAGAAGCCATATAAATGTCTGGAGTGTGGGAAATCTTATGCTTGTCCTTCATCCTGTGCAAAGCACATGCGAGCCCACACAGAGGAGGATCCCCAGAAATGCTTGTGAGGTCAGAAATGTTTTGCGCCTCATTCACACCTGATGGCCAGCAGAGTACCCACATAGAACAGAAATTGTATAAATGCTTTGAATTCTGAGTATTTTGTTCAGAATTCAGAGCTACTGAGGCATCTGAAAACTCAGACAGGAAAGGAAGTTTTTTGACTGCTTGGCATGTGGGAAGTGTTACTCTGTGAAATATCTCATGACCCACCAGCGAGTTCATACTGGGGAGAGGGCCTGAAAGTGCTTGGAGTGCAAGAAGTTTTTTGCTTGGAAATGACATGTCAGGATCCACCAGAGAGTTGGCTCAGGGGAAATGTCATATGACTGTCTGGAGTGGGGAAAGTGTTTTGCTTGGGTTCAGCCTTTGTGAACCATCAGAGTCCACACATGATGAAAACCTTACAAGAGCACAGACGTGTGTTCTAAAAACAAGTAGCTTGTATTTATAAGTTTACCATATTTGATTTTTGTTTTACAAAATACCTGATTTCAAGGTCCTGCCACTGTCAATCTAATGTGGGCACCAATCCCATAATACCCAAGGGCAAAGTCTGGAACCGATGACCTGGATTCCTTTCTTCTTTTTGAAGATTGCCAGTGATAGATTGTCTGGCACTTCTATCTTCCATCTGATGAGAAAGCCTTAAGGGTGACAAGCTGAATTCTTATACTGAGAGAACAAATCATTTAGTTTTTATGTAGTAGCATCTGTTATCGAGATCATATCCTCCATAAAAATTATTTGATGATCAGATGAAGTAGATTTATTTATTTATTTATTTATTTATTTATTTATTTAATAAACGCTTTTGTATGCTGTCCTCTATATATCTCAGGATAGCTTTTGCCCCAATATATGTGATCCAAGAGATTATTTATCTACTCCTGCCCAGCCAATGGAAACCACTGAGTTTAGGAGACCAAGGAGAAGCACATGGGAAGAAAAACTCATTAATTACCCAAAATGCAATGTAGAAATATTCTCATTAATTAATTGAACAGCTAATTAGTTAAATTTGAACTCTGTGAATTGGTTGCTCTAAATTCAATATTTTATTGAAGAATTTATTAGTAAATGACTGGACAGCATGAGAAGAAGGATGTGGCATGTGAGTCCCTGCAGATACTGTCGGCTTGGGACAACAGCAAGACACAGAGTGGAACAAGGAACTCATGAACGTGGCAAAGAACTTCGGGGAGCCGGAGCTCCTTGGGCCAGGGGCCTGCAACTCTGGGGGGAGGCAGAGTGGCGACTGGTGCCACCTGGATGGTTAAGCCTGAGCCCCTTACAGATGAACTTGGTTCACGAGCCCCCCTCCCCACCCCACT